CCCCCTCCTTCTCTCTCCCCTTTCCCCTTTTTTTCCTTTTTTCTGAGTCCTCTCGTGCTTGGCGAATGAATGTCCCTGTTTTTTCATTGGTAATTCCCGTGGTATGGTTGAAACACCCTATGGATGCATGGATCTCTGCAATCTCAATACTTTATTTGTAATCTGATATGGGAATGATGCATGCATATCTGTTTGCGGTATGAGTGGATTACTCTGTTTGCATTCAAAGGAAAAGTACCCCCCACCCCCCTCGCTTCGTTTCGACACCTTCGCGTAATTGGCTGCCTTCGACTGGATCGGCCTTGTTTTGTTCCTCACCACAAATGGACACACGAGTGGTTTTACCACGCCGCGTTGAAAGACCGCCCCCCGCATTTTTTACCTTGCTCGCAGTGTGCCGGCGTGGTCAGTCAGAGCAGCATGGGTATGACGTGTCATGCTCGTGCGAATCTCATGTGACACACACATGCAACACACACACACACATGTACATGTGCAAGTGTGTATCTGCATGTGCATAAGTGAAGACAAATGTACTCAATTCACAGAAGCTCGTCTATTATTGATTGTTGCTTCGGACAAGAGGTGTGGAAGTCAATGACCTATCGTCTCGTCTGCTCTGGTGTCTTTGACAATTTTGAGCTTTAAACAGTTGTCTGAAATGTCTCTGTGGATTTTGCAGGAATCAATTAAACCAGCACCGATGGGACTCGTAAGTCATGAGAAAGTCACTGCAGTCAGTATAGGTTCGGAACATGCAGTGGTGCTAACAGCAGAAGGTGAACAGCAGCAATAGGCACTAGACCCTAGTCCCATCTACACCAGCATATGAAGATGAGGAAAGTAGTATTCAAATCGTGCAGATCTGACATTACTAGAAAAAAGAAGAGCCAAGTTCAAAATTTCAAATTGAAGCCACAAGTGAATGGGAAAAGAAAGGAAAACGGGTTTCGAAAGTTCAAAAGACTGTGCATCCTGTGAATGTTTAAGCTGTGGTTGGGGTACCTGGTTGGAGTCGAGGAGGTGAGAGACAACTTTGATTGCAAATCTGATCAATTATCAACCGTCCTCTTGGAACTGTGTATCGTATATGCGATTCTTCTTTTTAGTCTATGATTTTTTATGAATGTCGTTCATGGCAACGGTCCATAGACTGGACAAGAAATAGAGGGCCATCCAACCAAGTGTCATCTTCAGTTTCTGCATCTTCCGGGCCACTCTTTTCATCGTAGTTATCACTCTGCTTGTCCTTCTGCTTCTTCCTTCTGCTTCCTCCTTCTGCTTTCTTCCCAGTCATGTTCTCACATGACTTTGCTATTATGAAATTCAGTACTCAAACCGCCAGTACACGGCCCCAGCCTTGCTGAAAAGAAACTCGTCGCCTGGTCCGAAAGTTCGGGCACACGGTTGATAAATTCCATCAATGGCTGGCATCGCGTTTCAGTCTCTGAAACTCACAGTGATGGGCCTGTGGCCGATGTATGGCCAGGTACTGGTGGTGTTAAGAGCAATGTGCGGGTGTACAATAATTTGACAATTTGTTACCTGGACAAAGAAAAAAGGGGCAATGTGTGCCTGAGTTCTATCTTTACACCAAATCCGATTCTTAGAACAAAAGTTCTTGAGCGCATTGAAACATACCCTCAGCATTGGCGACTCAGGGATTATGTTGATACTTCGCCTGACGTTCGACATTGTACTGCCCGGTTTTAGTATCTTTGGTGCCGGCCTGCACATCTCTTCCTCACCCCTACTGTAGCCTTAGATCGTTGCGCCTTGGACATAGTTGGTGTGCCACTGTCTTCTGATGTGTAGCTCTTGCCACATGCAGCCACTTTGGGAATTTCACCATTATTGAACTACTTGGAGGCTTCGTTGACATGAACTCGATCTTCCTCAGCCCCCTTTACTGGTGCTCACTCATAATCCATAGTGCTGACTTTGTCCACATCCTTCTTTAAAGAACCACTACCTTTCACATATATTGGCTGTGGGTGCCGCACGAGGCCCCACGACTTTCGGAGGCCAGTAAATGTAAAAACGGCTGCCTATGAAATTTATCAATGGCGGCCGCCGTTGGGCCCGGCCTCCGCAGGCCCCCGAAGAATGCCGTATAGGTTGTATTCCCAGTTGGGACACCAGCCCTAAAGGTAGTGGTTGTTGAAGGTCTGCCTCGCAGTCAAGATTTTGGTTATCCCCTGTGACTTCTTCTGTAGCGTGCACTGGCTTCTCCTCTTTCTTTTTTTCTTTTTCTTTTTCGTTTCTTTTTCTTAATAAAAAAAGAACCTTGTGGTTCCGGCTCCTTGTCCAATCTGGGGGGCATCAGTCTGGTTCCTGTTCCACCAGCAAGTCAGAAAGAATTACAACGAGTACTCACACACGCTCCCCCTGCTAATGGTAGGAAGACCCGAAGGATGGCATTGATTACTTCCGGAAGGAAGGATTTACCAACCCTCATCCCTGCCTAAGCTAGCCTGATGTACCCTGCTTCCGTCTTCGGTTGCTAGAAGGAAACTGGGCCTGTATCTGACCTACATGGGCCCTGTGCAGCCTGTTCCTCTCAGTTCCTTGACTGTCGAATTCACATTGTGTGCCAGAACTACTGGTTGGCCTTCTGAAGCGGTTTTTACTAACACCCTAAACTTCCATCTACTTGGTTGCTACGTTATTTGGTTAAACCCTGAACCTTAGGGGACCAAATTGTGATAGAAGACCTGCGGTCCAAAGGAGGTAGTGTCAGTCCGAAGCTGTCTAGCTGGATCCCATTGACATTCCTGTGAGATAACTCCTGCTATGGGGCAGTTCTAATGATTGCAGTGCGGTTAGTCTATTGTATCTCCAATGGCCGAAACGAATCGTATTTTGGTAGACTGTTGCTATTTTCCCTTCCCCGATATGTTTTTTGCTGAATGCCTCAGCTATCTTATCCCTATCTGCACTGTTCTTTTCTATTCTCTTACAGACTCTCTTCCAGCGCCCTCTGTCTTGTTAATTGTTTGCCACAGTTCAGATGAGTCTATCCAGAGTTGTTCGGTGTTTTGACAATGTAGTAGGCAATGGTTCATGTCTTCTACGAGACCCGCCGAGAAAATCGGACAAAGTTCCTGCAGCGTGGATCTGAATTGTGTGTTCCTTATTTTATTCAGCCACTTGTTGACCGGTAGAGCTAGGTGGGCGAGTAGCCACTGAAAACTTCTTATTTTGACTGGGTTAATGGTTAGGATTCTGGTCCAACAAAATGCTCGGAGCCTGATTGTGTGGCAATCTGGCAGATTAAATTGTGTCCCCCATCATTGGGCTATAATTTGGGTTACGGGATATGATCTCATCCGTAGAGTGTATCCTAGCTTAGTGGTATATTCCAGGACATTCGTGGGCTTTTCTAGATTAAGCGTTCCTGTTCTTAGTTTCGACGCCCATTCCGCCAGGTCGAGTTTCAGATCTTCTATGTTGGTTTGTGGGTTGTATATTCTATGCTCTTGTGTTTCCACTACTCTCACCT